GGCCATGGTGTATAATCTTTTGGATATATTGTTGGATGTGATTTGCCAATATTTTGTTGAGGATTTTAGCATCTATGTTCATCAGTGATATTGGCCTGAAGTTTTCTTTCTTTGTTGTATCTCTATCTGGTTTTGGAATTAGGATGATGCTGGCTTTATAAAAGGAGTTTGGGAGTTTTCCATCCTTTTGGATTTTTTGAAATAGTCTGTGAAGAATAGGGGTTAGCTCTTCCTTAAATGCTTTGTAGAATTCTGTTGTGAACCCATCTGGTCCGGGGCTTTTGTGTGATGGGAGTTTTTTTATTATTGCTTCAATTTCTTTTGCTGTTATTGGTCTATTCAGGTTTTCTACTTCGTTTTTATTGAGTTTTGGGAGATTATATTTTTCTAGAAATGTGTCCATTTCTCCTAGGTTCTCAAATTTCTTGGCATACAGTTCTTCATAGTAATTTCTTACAATCCTTTCTATTTCTGTGGTATCAGTTGTAATCTCTCCTCTTTCATATCTGATTGTGTTTATTTGTGTCCGTTCCCTTCTTTTCTTGATGAGCCTACTTAAAGGCTTGTCTATTTTATTTATCTTTTCAAAGAACCAACTCCTGGATTCATTGATCCTTAGAATTGTGCTTTTAGTTTCTATGTCATTTAATTCTGCTCTAATCTTGGTTATTTCCTTCCTTCTACTTGCTTTGGGTTGTCTTTGTTGTTGTTCCTCGAGTTCTTGCAGGCGTAGAGTAAGGTTGTTTGTTTGAAATGTTTCTCTCTTCTTTAGGTAGGCCTGTATAGCTATGAACTTCCCTCTCAGGACTGCCTTCACTGTGTCCCATAAGTTTTGGGTTGTTATGAGATCATTTTCATTTGTTTCCAGAAACTTTCTTATTTCTTCCCTAATTTCATTCTTGACCCATTCGTTGTTTAATAGCATGCCATTCAGTCTCCATGATTTTGGGTATTTTGGATTTTTTCCTTTGAGGTTGGTTTCCACTTTCAGTCCCTTCTGGTCAGAGAAAATGCTTGGTATGATTTCAATATTCTTGAATTTGTTGAGGCTTGTTTTGTGTCCTGTCATGTGGTCTATCTTTGAGATACCTCAGGTTTCTGTGAAAACAGAACAAACATGAATATAACACAGGAATTGAGGAATGGTTTTTGCTTTCGGAAAAAGAATTCATTCCCTATTCCCATGTCTTTCATTACCATGCACTGGGAAGTAGGTGACACCCCCTTCAGTCCACAATCCCAGTCCAATTCCTCACAGCACTGGGTTTGTAAAAAAATGATGTCTCGCTGTCAGTGTTAGTTAAAAATAGTGAAAACTAAGCTGCCCTCCCTTCACTTCTATTTCTTTATCACAGTAGTTATTGCCACCTTATTAGAGTCTGAGAAAAGAATGACAGTGTAATATTCACCTCCTCACAATGGGCTGCAGGCTACTCCTGCCTCTTTTGCATCTTCTATCTCCATTCCAAAGAGACATTGAAAGCCAGACTTTGGTCACCTCTCACCCTGCATGCCAAGTCCTCCCCTTATCACAGTGCCACTTCAGGAACAGGGCAACAAGGACCAAGCTAAAAGTCCGGGTACAAATAGTTCTGGGAGGAAACTTAAGCTCTGTGTATACTTTTAAATAGTTTCTGGTTTTACCTGTTAATTAAGCAGTGATGCTTAAACATTCAAGGGTATCTGTTAAATGAACTTGGGTTTAATGATGGTTTAAAGGCAACTATGAACTCTCTCTTATATAACTCCTAAATTTATTGTCAAAACCATTCCCAAACTCTTGTCTCAATTCTGTAAGCCTGGGGCTTTCAAACTGCAAAGCTCCTTCAGCACTTTTCCCGACAAAACCAAAGCCTTTCCTTTTTGAGTCTTGCCTTCATTCTACAGTGAAAATCACTCTTATCTACATGACAAGGAGAAAGTACAGCTATCATCCCACATCTGTTTCTCTGTCCTTCTGCTGTGAGGGTAGCTTTTTTCTCTTTTCTCTAAGAAGAATGTATAAAATAAATTTATACAAATTTATAAAATAAATTTTACAAAATAAATAAATAAAATGTTATATAATTAATAACCTTTTGTCAAACTGTACACTGAGCAATCACCATTGCAATGATCCAGTTTAAGATATATTGCATGTATTAAAAAGAAAAGCAATAAAATCATCTGATAGAAAAAAATTATCATAGAAGAAACTAATGTCATCACTTTGTGATTATTACAACCACCCTCTCCTACCTCAGCAGCCTGTCTCAGCCTTTTCTCTGGCAGCCATTCTGGCTGGTCTTAGCTGCTCAGCAGGCCCTTAATTAGCCACATGCTCCCAAAATCCTGTTTTTGTTCATAACACCTAGAAAGCCTTTTTCACAATTCTCTATCTGCCAAAATCATTCTTTTCCTTGGTATCTTGTTGTCTTGATAGCACAGGATTGGACTCAGTTCCTCACAATCTTAAATAAGTAACTTTCAGAAGATGCACCAGACCTATTTTCCCAAATCAGCTCTCAGAAATCTAAATGCTTGGAGAGCACAAAACTACATGTGTGATATTCTGCTTGGGTTTAGTTTCTCTTTGTTAGTCTCCGCACTTGTGTGTCCCACCCTGAACCCACACTGTAATTTTTCTTCACATTCCTGCTTTCTGAAAAGAAAGAAGAGTGTTTTCTGTTATAGAACATGAAGGAGGCAGAAAGCTCTGGAAAGAAGCAGGGAGGCAAAGCATGTTTGGGTAGTAGGGTGGCATTCCATTCTCGGAGGCAACAACAGTACTGGTACCAACCTTGATGTACTCTGACATGCAGATTCAAGATTCATCTTGTATTCACTTCTTGTTTAAACTTGGAGGGAAAATAGCCTTGCTCGGGGCTCCACATGGACAAGGGGCAGCCTAGATAGAGTTGAGGAGTTGCCTGAGAGGTCTCCGAAGAACATGTGGGGTACTTTCTACCCAGAACTGTAGAACTTCCAACCTTCCCTGGGAGTTGAGAGTCAGTGTATCGGAACACCACTGTAGAAACAATGGCCCAAGCCAGAGACCAGGTGGAAAGTGGAAGACGTTGTGTGGGAGCCCTCCAAAAAGATATGTCCATGCTCTAAGTCCAGAACCTTTGGTTGTGACCTTATTTGGGAAAAGGGTATTTACAGATGTAATTAAATTGAGGATCTTGAGATGAGATCATCCTGGATTACCCAGGTGTGCCTTAAATCTAATGACAAGTGTCCTTATAAGAGATAAATGAGGACAAGATACAGGAAGGAAGAGAAAGCCACATGAAGACAGAGGAAGAGATTGGAGTAGTGCAGCCACAAGCCAAGGAACACTTGGGGCCACCAGAAGAAGCTGGAAGAGGCAAGGAAAGATCCTCCTTTAGAGCTTTCAGAAGGAACACGTCCAGCTAACAACTTGATTTTGGACTTCTGACCTCCAGAACTGTCATAGAATACATTTATATTGTTTTAGGCCACTAAACTTGTGCAATTTGTTACAGCAGCCTGAAGAAACTAATACCTAAAGTGCCACTGTGAATCAGAGATCTTAGCAGGAGCTACAAAATCTGAGGTGGCGACTAATTCAACAGGGAGAAAGCTAAACTAATATTAACAAATGGGAATACTTTGTTAAGAGAGAAATTAAAAGGAAGAATATAAACTAGGAATGAAAAAAGAGATTATCAAATTAATGTGGAACTGTAGAGAATTGAAAGTTGAAAAGAGACTAGAAATTAAAATGTTTTTAAAATACTGCATTTTTGTTTCCTTTCTTTTACCTTATTTACTTATTTATTCTAAAAGAAGCATATGAAGCTTTTTTATGATTCTCTTAAAAAAGAAGCTCTTTCATTTGAAAAATATGGTGAAATGCAAAAAAAGAGGAAAATCCAGTTTTCACAAAGTCAGTCACCATTAAAATTTCTAGCGAACCTCCTTCTAGCCTTTTATCTATTATTCCTTTTTGTACACAGTGGCACTTCTACCATATATACTCTTATCTAATATTGTAATATAAGCATTTTTTCAATAGTAATTAAAATTTATTTATCATTAATTCTCTGTTGCTAGATAACAAATTATGAACAACTTAAGACTTTACACTAAAATAAACATTTATTATCTCATGCAGTTTCTGCAGGTTAGGAATCTGAGACAGGTTTAGATGGTATTTCCAATTCAGAATGTCTGATGAGCCTCTAATCAAGCTGTTGGCTGGGGTTGTGGGCTTTATTGAGGCTGGAGTATTCTCTTCTAAGACAGGTCATTCAAGGCTGTTGTCAGAAGGCCTTAGCTCATCACTACATGGGCCTCTCTCTGGGACCCTTGAGTGTCTTCATGATATGGCACCTGGTGTCCACCAGAGAGGGTGACCCAAGGAAGTGCATGATGAAAGCCACAATATCTCTTATTACCTGATCTCACAAATCACATGTGATCATATCTGTAACCTGTTGATTACACAAACCAACCATACTGATTATGGTGGGGACTCCAGAGACTCACAAAAGTGTGAACAGCAGGAGGACTTCTGCAAGACTAGCTACCAGAATGAACATTTTTAATGGCATTAATTTTATAATAGGGATCTCTATCAACTGTAGTAACTATTTAAATAAGGTTAGATATTATTTCCAGCATTTCTTTATTACAAATAACTATCAAGAAAGTTTGTAAATAAAAATTTTATCAGTACTTCAGATTGTTTTCTTTGGATATTGTCTTAGATGTGGGTTTATTGAGTTGTAAATTTTTTCTTAATTTCCACTTTAAACTGACTTCATAAGCAAATTAATATGTATATTGTTTATTTCAATTAACATATATATTTGCTTCAATGTACTTGAGATAAGTGCCTAAATACCTATGCAGTGATTCATTATTACATGCCTATTTTTCATTTAATTTATTCTATATGATGTATATTTCAGGTAGATATTTTATATCATATATAATATTTTGATACTTAATGGCATGTGGGTCATTTTAATTTTTATTTAACCATTTTATAGATCCTCCTGAGTTTGTTTGTTGCTGTTATTTTGGACAACTTAGAACTTGATGAAGATCTAAAGAAGCTGAAACAAGTAAGTGACGTGCGGGGAATTCTTTAAAATGCATGTTTACAGGTAATGTCAAAGCAGTTTGAGCTTCAAAGTCAAAAAATAAAAGGTTTTAATAAATTAATACAGTCTAAGTTGGCAAAATGTTTTTGTTTAGCTTTTATTTATTATTAACAAAGAAATTTTTTTTACTACTCTATAATTATCCTGGGAATATTTTTACATTATTATTATGAGTAAATGTAAGATTGATATAGCATAGTAAATTGAACTTGGAGACTATTCTTTTTCTGCCATAAATGAAATTTGAAAATTAAATGCCCCAAAGCCAAATTACCATTTTGCATAATTATATGTAACACCTTTGATCATCATCACAAAAATATCAAGCATCAACTTACCTGACCTATATATGCTAAAAGAGAATTTAGTCTGGGTTCCCGTGGTGATTATAAGAAATAGAATAGAATAAATGACCACCTGTGCCCAGTTATTTATGAAAACAGATTTGATGTTATGTCAATAAAAATCATATCCAAAAAATGAAAATGAAAATGTGTGAAGGTTATCTTATTGATGGAAGAAGGGTTATAGGTATGATCAACCACTCTCATAGTTTTTGTTAAATGGAGGATACTTGGCTTGAATATCAGGCTCTATCAAAGAGTATAGTCCCTGTCAGAAAGGGAGTTGGTGGGAGAGAAAGACACTGGATAAGATATTCTTTGATTATCTTCCTCAACTTTGCAAGAATAATAGGGATGTTACCAAAGAGAACCAAGGCTATAAAACAAATCCTATCTGAATTCTAGGAGGCCCTACACCTTCAGAATTTTAAAATTATATCTCACTTTTTTAAAGATTTTTTTAATTTAAATTATTTTAATGTTCAATTACAGTTGTCTGTATTTTCTCCCCACCTCTCTCCCCAAACCCACCTTCCTCCCTTGCTTCCACCCTCCCCTTGGTTTTGTCCATGTGTCCTTTATAATAGTTCCTGAAAATACTTCTCCCCACTGTCCCCTCCCCCCTCCCCTCTGGCTATTGTTAGATTGTTCTCAATTTCAATGACTCTGGTTATGTGTTGTTTGCTTTTTTGTTTTATTGATTATGGTCCAGTTCAAGGTGAGATCATATGATATTTGTCCCTCACCACCTCGCTTATTTCATTTAGCATAATGTTCTCCAGTTCTGTCCATGCTGTCACAAAGGGCATAAGCTCCTTCTTTCTCTCTGCTGCATAGAATTCCATTGTGTAAATGTACCATAGTTTTTTGATCCACTCATTTGCTGATTGGCACTTAGGTTGCTTCCAGCACTTGGATATTGTAAATTGTGCTGCTATGAACATTGGGGTGCATAGATTCTTTTGGATTAGTGCTTTGTGGATATGTCCCCTAAAGCAAGGGACATAAAGAAAAGAATAACAAATGGGACCTCATCAAATTAGAAAGCTTCTGCATGGCTAAAGAAAACAGCATTAAAATAAAAACAGAGCCAACTACCTGGGAAAACATATTTGACAATGACACCTTGGACAAAGGCTTGATCTCCAAAATATATAAAGAAATCACAGCACTCCACTCCAGGAAGACAAAATAAAAATTAAAAAATAGGCAAAAGACTTGAACAGACACTTTTCTAAAGAGGACATACAGAGGGCTCAGAGACACATGAAAAGATGCTCAGCATCACTAGCTATAAGAAAGATGCAAATTAAAATCACAATGAGATACCACCTCACGCTGATCAGAGTAGTCATCATAAACAAATCAACAAACAGCTGCTGGAGAGAATGCAGAGAAAAGGGAACTCTAGTGCGTTGCTGTTGGGAATGCAGACTGGTGCAGCCACTGTGGAAAACAGTATAGAATTTCCTCAGAAAATTAAAAACGGAGCTGTCTTTTGACACATCACTTTTCTATTTTTAACAAAGCAAAGATATAACCTATTTAAATTGCTTTGTTATTTGTATATCTGAAAGTTACTTAGACGGTTCATCTTATCAGTCTTGTTTATCTCCAAAACCTATATTTAACTAAGGATTTTCAATAAAGAATAAAAATTGATATAAATGTGCCCTTTTAAATAAACCATGTGGTGCTTTCCTTTGAGTTTATAACATTAGTTATTAAAATGTATTTTATTTAACCATTCACTAGATATTAATGATGGTTTGGGGTCTTTTTGAAATTCTGTACATCAGAGCTGATTATCCAATTGTGCTAGCCTACAATTTGGAGTATCTTTTTTGAATATTTAGAGATATTTGAGGGTTGAAAATTCCAATCATAAATAAAACAGTAAAAAATGTTTTTGTTAGTACCTTCCATATTGTTTTTAGCCACAAATGGACTGAAACTACATTTTTATTAAATTCATCTATTTATCCGCTCATCCACTGATGGACATTTGAGCTGTTTCCATATCTTGGCAATTGTAAATAATGCTGCAATGAATGTAGAAGTGCTTATGCTCTTTCAAATTTGTGTTTTGGTATTCTTCAGATATATTCCAAGAAGTGAGATCACCCTGGGTCAAAAGGCAGATCCATTTTTAATTTTTTGGGGTATCTCCATACTTCTTTCCACACACAATGGAATACTACTCAGCTATAAAAAAGAAAATTTTGCATTTTGTAACACCATGGATGGACCTGGAAAACATTATGCTAAGTGAAATAAGCCAATCAGAAGAAGAAAAATCTATATGATTTCATTCATATATGGAATATAATGACAAACTGAACTAACAAGCAAAATAGAGGCAAACTAATAGTTAGAGAGCAGGATGACAGCTATGGGGAGAGGGTTTAGGGGATGGAGGGATTGAGCAAAAGGAAAAAGTTCTCTTGGACATGGACACCAGGGTGATGATTGTGGAGGCAGGGGAGTATAAGGGGGATAAATGGTAATGGAAAAATACAATTGAAAATGCAATGATTAAAAGTAAATTTAAAAAATTAAAAAAAATCTCTACTGTCATGAACATAAATTGAGGTTTTCAGCCCTGATATAAGCTGGATCAAAAGCAAACAAACAAACAAATAATCCAATAGTTTACACAATAATCTAATAGATAAATAAATTCATCTATCAATTTCATACTTGAAACTCACTAAATTGCTATGGACCAAATATTGTTATAGTAAGCTAAAATGTTCCTGGTTCACTGTCTTCCATTTTTGTATAAGAGTCTCTATCTTGTGTTTTCACTAGTTTTCAACCATTTATGTTATCTTTTATATCTGTAGAGTTTTTTATTTCCTTAGATATTGGCATTTAAAGTAAGGTTCATTTATATAATTTCAAGAATACACACACACACACACACACACACACACACATCCCCTTTCATCCACATATGCATGTGATGATGTGGCTACCTGAAATTTTAAATTATCTTTTATAGCTTCTGTTAGCTCTCCAATAAAACTGTTGCCTGAAATATTGTTTAGTTTTTCACATGTAGGACCAGCTTTTAAGGATTTAAATTTGTATACTCTACCTGTTTTTACTATTCACAGATAGAGAATAGAATGGGAGAAATAGGAAAAAAAAGTACTTGATTTTCTTAATGTTTGAAATTCAAGAAAGTACTATGTATTCCAAAGTCTGTTTAGTTCAAACTTTATTTTCATCTTTTACTCTTTCCCCAACTAGTCTATAGGTTCTTATTCCTACAGTAACATTTGTGGAACAGTCAGTGTGGAATAGAGGAGCAGAGTTAGAATTTGAATCCAGGCAATTTGGACCAAAAGCCCAAACACGTAACTTCCTTATTATATTGAGTCTGGCTTAAGCTGTATGGATGGCAAATAGGAGTCACGCATTACAAGGAGAATCACTCACAGGACTGTTAATTACTTGTTTATAAGTAATGATATTTTAGATGACAAAGATGTCATTATATTCATGAAATAACTGTTGATGTAAGGGTCAGTTTTCTGAGGAATGGAGGTGAATTAAGGAACCCAGTCTTTAAATCTATACATAATCGTTCTTTGTTTTCCCCTTGAAAAGCAGATGATCTAATCAGAGCCACTTAGGACTTATGCAGATATGCTAAGAGCTAAAATGCTTACCATTCACTCCACATAATGGCAGATGATGACCAAGGCACCTCTTCTCTCAGTGACCTTCTGAAGCAATGAGTCTCCTTAAACACAGACATCACACACCTGCAGCATATGAACATTTTAGCTATACCTCCAGAGACTTTTAATCTATTTTATCATGATTGTGATAAAAAAAAACAATTGTTTTAAAATATAAATGTTAATTCATGACATTTTTAACAGTAGTAGAAACCAGTACCTGTAAAATGGAGGGGTTAAATATTAGGTATTAACAGAGCTATTAGAAAAAGAAAATCACTTCTCACATTTGGGAAAGGAAATATGACCCTCAAGATGAACAAAATGGAAGATCATGGTAAAAGCTGAAAGGTACAGTGGAGAGATTAGAGTGGTAGAAAAAATAAGTGAAGAAATAAACTAGGAAAACATTTCAGATATGAAATTAAGAGAAAGAGCATGGATTATGACTATAACACCATGATAACCTGGGAGGAAAGTGACCAAATCCAGTCTCAGAAAAGTGATAAAATCAGGTGGCCAAATGTCAAAGGACACCACACATTTCAGGAAGAAGTTCCCTGAGGGCAAGTACCATTTACTGATCAGTTGTTGAGGGAATCATGGAATCATATCATTCTTAACTAGAAACATGGTGCTATATATATATTTTCCCATTTTTTTCCTGATGTCATCTCCTTGCCCTTTAAGTCGGTGGTTTCCAAACAAGAACTGCTTGACATCTAGGGCTTTTCAAGAGAAACTATAGATCCAGCAGCCTTTTTTACCACTATAAGAAGCTAAACGAGAATAGTGTAATTACCCAGTGTAAGAACAGATGTGTAAACTAAAATGACAACTTTAATACCTTTAGCTGAAAATATGCAAATTCTAGGTGGAAACTCTGCTTCCCCGATGATAAAGCTCTGAAATCTCTTCATTTATGCTT